CGATAACATTATCTATATTTGAGTCAAAAAAGTGCTAGAGCTTTGAATTTGATATTGGAAATCATATAGCAAACTGGATTCGTAGGCAGATTTGGAATTTGCATCAGAACCCCCTAATTCGCCTATATAATATATTAGTTTTATCTTTCTATGTAAATTATTTTATATAAATAGAATGGTTGGTAAATATTGAAATGAGAAGAAAATTGTATTTTCTCTAGTCTAGTATTAATGTTTGTTTTATTTTTTTTTCTTTATTTCTATGCTTTCTTTTTTTATTATATAATTATCAATAAATTATTTACTTATTTTATTATTATTAAATACAATGCTTTATGAGTTTTAGTGATATTATCAATAAGTCTGAATAATGCATAAATCTTAGCAATAAGCTGTAATCTAAGTAAAATCTATAAGTCTGAATGATGCATAAGTTTTAGCAATAAGCTGTAATCTAAGTGAAATCTACAAGTTTTAATAATATACAATCTTTGTGAATCTTAATGATAACCTACAAACCTTTGTGATAACCTATAAGCCTTTGTAAATTTTAGTGATAACATACAAGTCTTTATAAAACTAGCAAAATTATTACTTAAACTAAAAAGAGTTATTATTTAAACACCAAAATTGCATGTTAACAGTATTATATAGAATAGTTTACTATAAAATTTTTCATTTATAATTTTAAAAAGATATATATATATTTTAATATATTTAATAATCAAATTTTTAAAAAAGTAATTTATAAGAAATCAATAATCTGATTTATATTTATATAATTTTATTAATTAAAAATAAAAATATTTTATTAATAAATGATAAAATAAAAACTTATATGAAAACATCAAAAAACATTAGTAAAATCAATTGAAATATAATAAATCATATGATCTTATAATATGATTAGCTGCAATACTCTTATATACTGTAACAATTTTTTGACAAATCTAATATATAATAAGTAATTCTAATATAAGTTTAAAATCATAACAAATAGAATAATATTATTTTGATTTTACAAATTTAAATTAATATTATTTAAAACAAAATAATTATTCTAAATTATACAGATTTACAGTATTAATCTTTTAAATAAGAAGTCGAAATTATAAAAAAACTTTCTTATATTAAGAAAATTTATTCAAAATTTATTTTTTATGCTTTTAAACTATTTTTTATTGAAATTTCATTTCATTGTATAAATAAATAAATATTTAAAAACTAAAACTATTCACAGTCATGATATTCTTTATAATGATAACATTCATTTTATTTGTTTATGCGTCAGTGCTTACATTAATCGATCACATTACATTGTTACCTCGCAAAATTAAGATTGAATATTGAATTCATTTTATAACTGAAAATTAATAAATTTTTAACAGCAAAGGTTGAATTGTTTAGTGATCAGAAAATTATAACTTTTAACTCATTTGTTGAAAGTCGCTAAAAATTGACAAGCATACATAAAATATAAATAACCATGAGAGTCGTTTTATGTATTACATTACAATACATCCAATTATCCGTCACAGAAAATCGGAGAAACTTATTAAATTCATAATCTTAAATCTTGGTAAAATAAATTAATAACACACATTGATTTTTTATTAATTGTGTGATCTCATTCTTTAATGGTATTAAACTATATTGAATAAAGAATCGTTAAAATTTCAATAATCCTATATACACTCCATTAATAATAATAATAATAATAATAATAATAATAATAAATAATTTTTTGAAATATTACCAATTCCACATTGGATCTTATATTTAATCAGCCCTAATGACTATTTAATATTAAAATATGAGAATTTTTTTTTTTTTAAAAAAAAAAATAAATTTTTTGGGGTTTATACAATTTGTCAAAAAGAAAGAACTTTGAATTGTTATATAGTTCTATTTGATAATATAAAAGCAAATACATATACATATTTAAAGAGAAACTTTCTAAATGTTTAGGATTAGTACTAAATGAGTAGATTCCATTTTTAATTAGGAAAAAAGTTCAATTTTTTGAAATAAATAAAGGTACAATGCAATAAAAAAGAAAAAAAAAATAGAGGTCGGATCTAATTTACAATTAGAATCAGATACATAAGACGCAAATACAAAAAAAAACAATAATAAAATTATTATCAAGGGGTCAGAACAACGCGTATGCGGTATTCATCTAACAATTTCATTAATTCGCTGTCCGCCCCAAGATATACTTGCTCCTAAATGAAGAAACGATAATGAGAGATGTACTTTTGGAGGATTAAATAATAAATTCAACGACTAACCTCTTGTGAAAATGTCACTTGCGCGTTGATCGGCGCACCATATTTGTCAAGATAAAATCTTAAAAGAGAGATGTCTCCATACCGAATGTTTTGCATGATCAACATATTGTACGTTTTTTTAAGTCTCACATCAGTAATGAGCCATTCATTACGGCGTCCATTATTATGTGATTTTTCACCTGACACTGATCTTCCAGAGCGACCAGCAAATTTTGCATTCATTCTTGATGCATATCTTTGAAGAAATTGTAATTTAGGATTTGGGTTCGTCATTGATTCTGAACCTTGATATTGAGCAGACGCGCACTTATAACATGACATATTCTGATGTGGTTGAAAATAACATTCATTACAACAAGAACTTATCCCTGGTGTATTAATGTTATTAACCGGGGGGTCTAAATTAGGTGCTTTGTCGAGTGAGTATAAAACTGACCAATAAGTTGGCCACCGTGAATTTGCTTGGCGTGAAACCGGTGAAACCCTATTATTAATATTAGGTCCAGCATTTTGAGAATCATTAGCATCAACAAAAAACTCGTCTAGAATACGATCAAGTAATTTTGGTGCACGATATTGTAAATGAGCTCCATATGCAAATAAGATTAAGGAACCAGATCTAACAGAAAGCCCATAGACATATCTAAGAAATAAGATAAGTTCTTTTTGAAAATGTGTACAAAGATATATGCATGTACGTGAAAAGCGGGAATATTCTTGTAAGGTAAGATAATATGTAATCCGAGTAATTAACTCGGCCGGAAGAGAAAATAAAGTTGCCTTTTCTCTTTGATGTGACAGAAGACTTAATTGTAACACTGAAACCAATGGTGGTAAAATGACATCAGCCGATGTCGACAATTCTTGTGAATTACTACTACTATTACTACTACTACTACTACTACTATTATTATTATTGTTGTTGTTGTTGTTGTTGGTGTTGTTGTTATACTGTGAACGAGATGTCGTTCCTTGAGGCTGACGACGTCTGCGTGATTTGTAACGTTGTTTTATTGTAGAATCGGTTTTCATTTTGAGTGAGTAGATTTAGATGATTGTAAGAGATCCTTTTTGAATGCTGAAAAAAAAAAAAAAAAGGGGAAAAAAAAAACGTCAAAATAAGAAACGATGAGTGGTGAACAAAAAAAACTGTTTACTGTGAATGTCACAACTTTATTTGTCACAGAAAAAAATAAAAATATAAAAACAAAAATAAAAAAGTTTATTTAAAATAGATAGAACTTCGTACTTTGATTGCTTCACAAAACTTGTAAAAAGAAAAACCAGACTGAAACCAGTAACGACTCTTATTATTATAAAATGCAAAATTGGCCAATTGTACGACTTGGCAATGGAAGTCGGAAATTTAATCAAACATCTGATTGTGAATTTCTATTTGGATTATTACATCACTAATAGATAAAGTAAATTCCAAGCCACCAATTAACCTGTCAAATTACGTAATTAAGGACGAATTGATTCTCCACAAAAACTTTTCAACAATTATCCTTTTTGAGATAAGTAAATGACAATTCTGTTAACTTTTTCGTGAAGTATAAGTCGACGGTGGAATATACAAATATATTTAAATATAATTCTGTAATTAAAATAAATTAAAATAAGGAATTATTCCGAGTTATATTTATATCGGAAGTATAACAGCTCTTCCTTAATTGAGTATTTGGTTTTTCACACGTTTATCTCTTGTAGATCAGATGAGCAATGATAAAGAACAAGTGAATGGATGTTTCGGAGATATATAATTTGGTTTAATTCTTTGTGGCAATTAAAGAATAACAATTTAAATTATTTGCTTTTTCCCTTTTATAGATCGTATTTAAGAATACCAATAAACAGTAAAGTAAATAATTCCTTTTTTAAATGGCCGAGTCAATTCGAAATTATTTTGGTAGATTTTTCAACCTTTTTTGGCCCAATCGAACTCGCTAAATTTGGTTAAAATTTTTATTTGACACAGACAAAACGTGAATGGTACATTCAAAACAATTATGGATACCTTTTGTCTTCCCAAAAATGGATGATAATATATACGATTATCAGTATTTTTAAATCGGATATTTAAATTTTAATAACGTGCGTTAGCAAATTGCATGCCAGTAGTTAATCATTACTAAAAAAAAGGGTAATGTCAAAGCCTAGTGTGACAGTCTCCACATTTTCTTCGCCTACTTTAGAAGGTTCCCATAACATTTCTTCCCCAAATCCCCACAATAATTTCACTGCGGATTGATTTATATAAATAAATCACATATAAAATTAATAAATATTTATGTTTTAAATGGATTAGTACTTACATGACACAACTTCTAAAAGCACATGAATTGGTTAGACGTATACATGTAATCAAAATAATCGCAACATTAAACCAGCTTTTTGCATCACGATCCACCCATTATTCATTTGGGCCTGAAATTATACTTAACGCTGGTAATTATTTAAAGATTATAAATTAAAAGAAATATTAATCACCCCCATGTGATGCGATCTGCAGATAATGTAAAAAGTATTTTAATACCAAATTATTATTTTTTTTTGTTTTGCGAATATTGGCTTCAAATATGTCAACTTCAAACGGTTCTCTAGATTCATCAGAATCAAGTGCTTCTAATATTTGGGCTCAGAGAACGGCCTTTGAAAAAGTATGTACATTCTGAGTTCACCTCTTGGAAAAAAAAATTATTTATTTTTTTTTTTTTTTTTTTTTTTTTTTAAAAAAAAATAGCGGTATCAAAAATTTTTAGACGAAGTAACTCCATATTCTGTGTACAGATGGATTGCTACAGTTGTTATATTGTTATTATTTATGCTGCGCATTTTCACTTTACAAGGATTTTACATAGTAACTTATGTAAGTGTATTCTTACTTTGTTTTGCCCATATAATGGATCTTTTCAGAGTATAGGAATTCCTCAAAGGATGAGAATTTTAATTTAAACGTTGATTTTCAATTCTTTAGGCATTAGGGATATATCTTCTTAATCTTTTCCTTGCATTTCTGCAACCTAAATTTGATCCTTCGTTAGAAATGGACATTACAGATAACGAAGCAGAAGATGGTCCCTCACTTCCCACTAAAGCTGATGAAGAATTTAAGCCATTTATTCGAAGATTACCTGAATTCAAATTTTGGTATGATATTATAATTGTTATTATTATTATTATTATTAAATTTCTATTTCTTTTTATTCACCAATTTGACGATTTTAAATGAATTCTTTGTAGGTATTCCTCGACAAAAGCAGTCATCATATCTTTATTTTGCACCTTTTTCTCATTCTTTGACATACCAGTTTTTTGGCCGATTCTTCTTATATATTTTTGTATTCTTTTCGCCATTACTATGAAACGACAGATAAAGCATATGATAAAATACAAGTAAGTTTTTTGATTATATTTATATAAAGATGATGGAAATTTAATACATTTTGCTAATAATTCTTTTTTTTCTTTACACTTTGACAGATATGTTCCATTTGATATTGGTAAAAAGGCATATAATGGTAAAAAATAGACAAAATGTGTGTCATAATCCAATGAATCAAACAAAGCCTTTTGATTCATGTATTAATGCACCATTTATTTTATATCATAATAATATAGTATATATTATATAATCAATATTAAACTAACTTTATTTTCTCTCTTTTTTTTTAAAAAAAAAAAACATTGATGTATTTGAAAAGAGCAAAAAGAGCAAAAAGAGCAAGAGATTGAATCATCTAACAAAGTGAATATTAGGTTGGGTGATATATAAAGTTTTTTGAATTCTTTTTTTATATTTACATTATTTGTATTGTATACATTACAATTATTTCTTATATCTGTTATTATAATTCTTTTTGGGGGTTTATTAAAAATTTTAGTATATAGAAAGAAATTTTAAAATTTTTTTTTTTAAATTAATAATCTATAAAAGTCAAATATTTTTTTAAAATACCTCTTATCTTATTAAAGAGCATATAATAATAATTTAATTTTTTTTTTTTTTTTTTTTTTTTTTTTTTTAATAATTGTTGCTTTTATGAAATGAAATTTACGATGTATAATATAGAATAAATAATTTAAAGGTGTTTATTAAATTAGTAATATGATGGATCATGAATTCAATCCTGTAGAATAAATAGAAAATTAGCAAAAAGAATATACCACTTAAATTCACAATTGATACGTGCTTTCTAATGTCAGGCACATCTTACGCATTCGAAATTTCATTCAATAAGCCACAGTTTCCATAGCATGATGAATTCGTTCTCGGATGGATGTTGGAATCAATTAAAGAATAAATTCATGGGATACCACAATTTTTGCATCGAAATTTGAAGAAATCTTTTTTATCAGATGCTTTGAAGTTGAGTTTTTTTTTCATATTTATTTGATTTTATTTTTACATACAAAGTAATTGATTTTTGTATAACTTACCTTCCTAGAAAATTAGTTGGAATAAGAATAAATGTTAGATATATGGGCTCTTTGCAATATTAGAAATGGGAAATTTCCATGATGCTGAATATTGCTTTTTCGAAAGTTCCCCCCCCCCGCCCATAACAAAGACCATTTCATCTGAGTAAGTTGTTTGATTTCATTGTTACAGCGACATTCTATATTTCATCCTCTACATCATTACATCATCTATTTTGGAAGCATGAAGCGCATATCATTTACTGGTGGGTTTAATCTTGTCATAGAAAAAGGTTTGAAAGGTTTCGTTAATCAAGAGACGTGGAAAATTTTTATATAATCGAAGAAATTGATTACAACTTGTATTATATACTTAATTTTAATTTTGCATACGGACTTTTTTGTAAGTCTTCAGTATAATTATCATTTTATGAATGTAGTCTACAATTACTTATTGTATATCAATATTAATTTGCATCATTAATATATCAATTGAAAAGCTTGATTCACAAGAACGCAATCGACATAGACTATAACCTATCAGATCATGCGATATCCACAACTTCCTTTTTTTATCCCAGATATTGTATCATCGACCCTCAGGACTCCCGTAAAAAAGGTCTCCTTTCAATATGACAATATGTCGAGTGATGATTGTTTCATTGATCTCTTCATTCTTATGAAAATCAATTAAAAATTCTTCACTTACCGAAATCTCAATATCAAATGCTAAAAATTTTTGAAAATAAAAAAAAATAGTAAACACAACTGCAATTGTAATTTAAAATAAAACAATATTAAAATAGTATAATTAAAATTAATAAAAAAAATCATATCAAATCAAATAAATTAAATTATATTAAATTTTAGTGGTATATTTGCTATAAAATTCAACCCCCTGTATAGTTCACCCTTAGGAAACAAAAAAAAATGATTATAAAAAAGCTGTAGTTTAAGCCTAACAAAATATGCTTATAAGAAGGACTTATAAGAGGGAGTAATTAAGAGATGATTAGATTATACAAGAGGTTAATTATATTAATGAAAGATGTTTTTAGAAATTGAGAAATTTTTATAAAAAAAATCTGTTAAAAATGCTTTTAATAATTAGAAATAACAATTTTTACTATAAAAGATTAGTAAAAATATTTTAAAATAATTTTCTTTTACTATCTTATTTTAAAAAAAATACATAATACTAATTTAAATTACAAAATTTTATTTAATAATAATACTATTATTATTATTTTATAAGGATTTTTATTTAAAAATAAATAATATTTAAATATTTAAATATCAGTAATAATATTTAGACATATCTATCATTATAATTTTTAGTTAATCAAAATCAATAATTATAAGTAGGAAGGTTTATATAATTTATAATTACTATTTATATTAAAATTATATTGTAATAATCATATAAATTTTATTTGAATTATTTTATAATATATATTAATTATAACAAAAAATATATAAAATATATTATATTAATATTATTATATTTATTTATTAAAAAAATCAATAAAAACTAATTTATAAATCATATACTATTTTAATTATATTTAATTATTTTTAATTAAGTTTTGCTATTAATTATATTTTCTTATTAT